TAAGTTTAAACGATTGGTGCCTCCAAAAAAGAACCCTAGCATTTTTTTTTTTTTTTTTTTTTTTTTTTGAGAAATATCAAATGTTATGAAGATAAATGTCAAAACGGTTTTGGTGCTTCATATAAAACGTATTTATCATGTCATACTTTATAATCTTACATTAATCATTAACCCTTGAATAAGCTTAGTCACACATTGTTATATTAGTAGAACCATACTTGCACACTAATTATTTGTACCGTATGCAACAAAAGTCGAAAAAATAAAATCAAATATGAAGTTCACACTTCACATGCATGCTTAGTATAATGATCGTTTATTTATATAATTGACCTTGAATCATTAAGCTTTATTAAATATCCGAAACTTTTCCTTGTAATCCACTTAGAGATATATAATATGCTAGATGGTTGAGTGTTCCACCAATAAATACAATTTCAAATGGAAGTTTCTTATAAATGGTGGAAATCGTTCAAGCACCCACTTTTCGTTACCAAATCCTCTTTGAAAATTTCGTCCTCAAAACTCCATTAATAAGATATAATACGAACAACCTTTGACCTTAATTTATGCTAATTATGATTATCAGTACGACTTTGAGGAAGACAATTACCAAAAACATATCTCTGAGCTCTCACATGGGTTGCCATTCCCCAAATATGGATTTGCATTTAATTCACTATGACATGATGAAAAGAACAGTTAAACCGACATCAACGAACTTTTGGAAAACAGTACTCAAGATGAACAGTTCTTATTTTTTTTGTAACTTGGTAGTTTAAAAATATTACTTTCAGGATAATTTCAAAATATATATATATATATATATATATATGGCAAGAGGTGTAATATATTCAGAAGATCACTTATTTGTCTACACATTAATGCTGATTACTGCTAAGATAAACCACAAGTCAATGTTCGTTATTTTTCTTCTTTGAAAAAATTCGTATACATATAAGGTTATTCCTCAAAATCAGGTAGAGTATTTGACTATAAACATTCATGTCATTTATGACGTTGTAAATTCGGACTCCACCATGTTCTAATTATCATTGCATTTTTTGTTTTTCATGTATAAGTGCAACAAAACTCTAATCACTCTTTCATAAAAAAACACTACTAATTACACTTTATTATAGTATTTTTTTCTCACATACACAACCCAAA